GGTTCTCAGGACTGAGTCCAGGTCTTTACTTCGGGTTCTGTGAAATGAGTCCAGGTCTTTACATCTGAGAAAACTGCATCCATCATCAGCACAGGACAAAGAAACATCCCTTTACCAACTGCACTATTTAATTATACTGTCAGTGTTGTAGCTTTTGGCTTTTTTGAGTTTCTGTAGATCAGCTGACTTCCCACTTCTTGGGATGGGCACATTTTAAGTGAGCGAGCGATCACACCTTATTACACCACTGTTTGCATTTGGTTTGAATTATCGACTGAGCCAGTTCACAGAGACATGGCTGGAGGTGTGTGGATGTAAGAAGCGTTTCCAAAAGAAAAAGGTGAAGGAAACAGGTGAAGCTCGAGGCGCTGAAACAACAGTCGTCTCCTGTTGGTGACGGAGTAGAAGACGGTGCAGGTTGTGTAAACAAACTCAGGCTGATGCAGAAGAGATTAATTAAGGCAGCAAGTCCTTTGAGGCACATTATTTGTTTTAAGAGCAGAGAGTGAAGCAGAAGATGAGGAGCATTCTGATTCAACATCCAACTTCATCTCTAGATGTCACTAAATTCTACACATTGAACCTTTAAACTTCTTTAAAAACTGGGAAATTCTCAATAAAACACCACATCAACTTGTTTGATATAATGTTACATCTGTGTTGATTAATAATAAATAAAATGAATGCAACGAAATTGTTCCGAATATTATTATTTTGGGAATTCAAAAGAGTCAAGTCAACTTCCTAAGGGGGCGTAACCATCACTCAAGGAGCCGTTTTGTTAATTTGTGCAAGGAAAGACACAGAACAACCCATGATGATCACCACTGCTGTTTGTTGTGTAACTAACTCTTTACAAATTAGAAAATCTGATGTTTTAGGGTCTGGTCAGGTGCTTTGGTTACTTGTCAAATGTTATGACCATTAATTATTCATCATAATTGTAAAGTAAGCTAAAAATGTTTCAAACAAGGCCATGTACTTACATAGGTGTCCATGATAAAGCCAGGAGGTAGAACCTTCAGCTACCAGGCTCCTCTCCTGTGGAACCAGCTCCCACTCTGGGTTCTAGAGTCTGTAAGAGGAGAACAGGAGGTAGAACCTTCAGCTACCAGGCTCCTCTCCTGTGGAACCAGCTCCCACTCTGGGTTCCAGAGTCAGACACCATCTCTGCATTTAAGGTGAAACTAAAAACTTTCCTTTTTGATAAAGTCTTTAGTTCTGGATCAGGTCCTGAACCATCCTTTAGTTATGCTGCTGTAGGTCTAGACTGCTGGGGGAACTGCTTTGTGAAAAGTATTTAAAATGTTTGTCTATTATAAATGTTTTCGTCCATACACAATGAAAAGCTTCATTCTAATTAACTGATTTCCACTTTTTTGTCTTAAAGCCTCTCCTCATTGAAATACATATATCACAAAGCACTTCCTGATTTTACCTGAATTTGAACAATTTATCACTCATTTTTTTGTTCTGATGACTCTAAGAGTCCGCTTTTTCATATGCTGTGTCGCAGTCCAAGGAGGGGAGGTCAGCACAGCCCAGTGTGAACGATGTGGCCTTTGGCGATTCCTCTCTTCACAAATATATTTTCAATTCTTCTGGTAGGAAGAAACAAAATTGTAATGCTTCCCATAATTAAATTTATGTTTCTTATTCACAAACTCAAGACCAGTGGGACAGGTTGGACATGTGACTCTGTGCAGCATCACCTGATTCTTCTGCAGGGCAAAGCCAAGGAGGCGTCACCTAAAACAGACCACAACACCTGCATCTTAAAACCCAAACCTCCCCAAACCACAAACCCGTGTGAAACCCAGCAGCACCCGTGGTACAGTTCCTTCCAGGGATGCTGGGTGAGCAAAGGTAACTGCAGAAACAGTGGGTGAGTATCATTTGGAAAATGCTGGAGATGGATTAGGTAATCACAACTTTTACCAAGTGATTTATTTTACTTTGCTAAGTGTTTTAAGTTCCCACGTTCAGTGGGAAAGCATACAACCATCTAACTTGTCAACTTTCCTCTGAACCCAGATCTGTCATTTTTTTCAGGTTTCCCTGCTCAACTGAAAACACGCTGGTGTGAAAGACAGTCAACCACTTCATCATGGCCGTGAACATCCCAGGATTGATACTGATGGTGCTTTTCTACCTGTTGGTCCTCGGGACCGGCRTCTGGGCTTCTTTCAAGTCCAAGAGGGAACGGAAGAAAAGTGGAGCCAATAAAATGGAGATGGCGTTACTGGGAAACCGGAGCATCAACTGGGTGGTGGGGATCTTCACCATGACAGGTGAGGACAGCTCAGCTGAAGACAACAGCATGGAAACTGTGAGAAAACATGGTTATTAGGTAAATACTGGTAATGGGGCAGGTTGTATGCTGCACAGATCACTGGCTGGAACAAACTAGAGGAGTTGCAGTACCAGATCTAGAAATGGGAAAGGGTGGACCATGTTTCACAGTCTGACAATGAGCAGCACCAAGAAAAATTATACCCGTGACAATGGCCGTTAAAACATCCATTAAGATGTAAAGGTCCTTGGCATCAAGGCAGGATTCAGCATGAGATAGCTAGATCCTGTTTCACTGTGTGCATTCACGCAACAAGCATACAGTTCTACTGCACTGGTGCCGAGCAATAAGTTAGGAATCAAAATCAGAATCAGAATCAGAAATACTTTATTAATCCCCAAAGGGAAATTCAAAAATGTTGTATTGAACAGTCAAATCTGATTTAACGACAGTCTTGCAGCTACTAGTCCAATAACTCTTCAAGATACAAGTTGTTCACTGATGAAGAATTACAACTTTAGTCTTTGTCCAAATATCTGCTGTGTGTTGATCCGTCCTGCAGCTACATGGGTCGGAGGAGGCTTCATTGTTGGCACAGTTGAGATGGTGTACACTCCGTCAATGGGACTAACCTGGGCAGCCACGATGATAACTGCATACAGCTTATCTTTTATTCTATGTAAGTTTAACTTAATCATTGGAATTCATACGTATGAAAAATGTCAAATGAATGTAATAGTTTGTTTCCTTTCTTTTTATTGTTGTTTTAGTTTTTCCCTCTGAATTGATTCCTTGTCTTTCTGAGCGGATGTGTTCTTTTTAAATCAAGGTGGCCTGGTGTTCGCTAAACCACTAAGAGAAATGAACTGTGTCACAATGCTGGACCCTTTCCACATCAAGTATGGACAAGTTCTGACAGCTGGACTGAGCCTGGCCTCGATTTGTGTAGATGTTATATTTATGACTGTAGCACTGATTTGTTTAGGTAAAGTTTACAAAGAAACCTTTTGTGTGTATATTTGATTTCTTATACAAATCATTTATCTGAGCATTGTGAGGAATTATGAACATGAAAGTCTGGATATACATAAAATTACATGAATGCAATATTTGTTGAACAGGAGGCACCATGAGTGTGGTCCTGGACTTGTCCCACACTGTGTGTATCTGGATCTCTGCTGCAGTTGTCATCGTCTACACTCTGCTGGGAGGTCTCTACTCTGTGGCCTACACTGACATCATCCAGCTTGTTCTTGTATTTGTTAGCTTGGTGAGTCTGCTGTACTTTAAGATTCTATAAAGTACTGGAGTCCTTGTTCATTACTTACATTTGTATTTGTCTCTGCAGTGGCTCTGTGTTCCCTTTGTCTTGATGAACCCTAACTGCTTGGACATCAGCGAGACACTGATGAACAACACCTTACACGCTCCCTGGATCGGTGGTCAAGGACTGGAAAAGATCTGGATCATGATTGATGATTTCTTAGTGTTTGTAAGATGGAGAAAAACTGTGATGATGTCAAATGCAATTCACTGGAGTCTTAAAGTTTCAGTGTGTAGAATTTAGTGACATCTAGTGGTGAAGTGTCACGTTGCAGCTCACCCTCTCCATCCAAACATGAGAGAGAACCTGTTATAGCTTCAGTTGTTGGAAAAACCTTAAAAGGTTTAGTTTGTCCAGTTTGGTCACATGTAAACATGAAGCCCCGCTCCCGATGTAAATATAAAGTATTTAAATATAAAGTATTTAAATATAAATAATATACTTTCTACCAACAGATCCGTTCATCTAAATGTGACACACTGCACCTTTAATATCCTGACATATGATGACACTTAAGCTGTTGAAATGTTGCACCTTTTTAAATCTAAATATAAATAGCAGATGCTTTGGTTTTAAACAGTAAGTGTTAATACCAGGATGAAATTTAATATCCTCCGTCTGTATTGGTAACATTCAGTGTTACCTTCTTCCATGTTCCTTCTTATGTGACTCACAGCTAATAACAGTAAGCCCCTGTGCTGTGTTTACCCCATGTGCTAACTAATATTCTTTCCTTTTTAAGGCCCTGGGGAGTCAGGGTTATCAGTGTTTACACCAGAGGACGTTGGCAGCTTCTTCATTAGCCACAGCTAAGCTCTCGTGGTTGGTCGCTGCTTTTCTCATACCTGTGTTAGGAGCACCTCCGATACTTCTCGGGGCAGCTGCTGCATCTACAGGTACTGACAGCTTCTACATGCTAGTGTAAACTGTGAAATCTATATCTACATTGTGATCATGCAAACACAGTCAAAGAAAACATCTGGGTTCAATCTTAGTGATCAATCTGTGATAATGGACAAACAAGAACATTCATAGGAATATAACTGAAGCTCATTATAGAAGCTCCATCGTGTGAACACAAACAAGTGGAGGAAGCTTAACGACCAATCAATTCTTTCTGAAAATGAAATAAACCCAAACATGGCACTTCAAAATATTGTTTATATTTTCCCCATGTGCACAAAACTAGTTTATTCAGTCCTTTGTGCAGAAGTCTCCTCTTAGAGTCACGAACTAATGTGACCATCTCTAAGCCTTTCTTCCATCTTGTCCTCAGACTGGAACCTGACGTCTTATGGTTCTCCTTTTCCATATGAACGTGGGGAAGCAGCTCAAGTCCTGCCCCTCACATTACAGCACCTCACTCCGACCTTCATCTCCATGATCGGAACTGGATGTGTTGCCGCTGCTGTGATGTCATCTGCTGACTCTGTTTTGATTTCTGCTGCTTCTGTCTTCACCTCCAACATATACAAGAACATCCTGAGGCCACAGGTGAGAAAATTCAAATATAAGATAATAGTCAGTATCTAGAACTTCTTCACCTCCTCCTCTCTTCTTTTTTCTCCAGGCATCAGAGAGAGAGATTCAGTGGGTGATCCGTGTAGCTGTGATGGTCGTGGGTTTGGTTGGTACGTCACTAACCAGCCTGGAAAAGAGCACCATTCTCTTCTTGATTCTTGCAGCTGAAGTGGCCTACGTCATTGTCTTCCCTCAACTGGTCTGCGTCCTCTTCATTAATGTCTCCAATGGTTACGGAGCTGTTATGGGCTTTGTGGTGGGATTGGTGCTCAGAGTCCTCAGTGGACTCCCATCACTCGGGCTGCCAGTTGTCCTCCACTTCCCAGGATGTGTTCTTGAGGATGGAGTTTATGTCCAGCACGCTCCAGTTAAGACCATCTCCATGCTGTCTGCCGTTGCTGCCATCGTGTTGTTCTCCAATCTGACGTCTGTGCTCTGCAACAAAGGCCTGTTCCCTGAGAAGTGTGACGTGTTCGAGGTGAGAGTCCAGCAATCAGCACGAGAGCTGACCCCGGTCCATGGGTCCAAGGAAGACGAAGAGAATGAGACACTGGAAAACAAATGTCCTCAGACTGAGGCATCAGAGCCAATGATTAGCTCAGAGTGTCTCTGAACATCAGCTGTTTGAATTCTAACACAGACCAGGAAGTTCTATCACCTCACCTGTTCAAAAAACCAACCTGTTATGAAAAGTGGACTTTGTGTTTCTATAAACAAATCATACACGTCTCAAAGGCTGGATTTTCTTTTCCAGGAGAAAGTGCATTCAGTATTTGTGAACAATGATTGGCCGTACATGTGAAGGCATGGGTTTTTAACTGGTTAGGAGATTTACTCGTTTTAATTTTGCCACCTCTTCATGACCCACAACAGCAAATAAGACAATCGGGGAGAAAATGAAGAATTCATCTTATTCACATTATATTCTCCAAAAGTACAATCTCTCCTTCCATTACTATGATAGATACTTTATATAATTCAGACTTCGAGTAGCACACAACAGCATAAGAATAATTAAAAAGGAAAAAAAGAAAAGTTAATCTGCGGTGAACTGAGAGTGGGACTCATCATATGATTACTACAAATGCTGTAAAAGTTTAAGAATCAGATGATTGAAAATTTGTGAAGGGTGAACAGTCTGAAGGGTGAACAGGCTGAAGGGTGAACAGGCTGAAGGGTGAACAGGCTGGAGGGTGAACAGGCTG